TTGTGCATGGTGATAGATATGGATCTATTTTCATTCTTCTACAGTGTGACATCCAGTTTTGCCAGCACAATTTGTTGAAGATGCTCTCTTTTTTCCATTGTATACTTTTAGCTCCTTTATCGAAAATGAGGTGTTCATAGGTTTGTGGGTTAAAGTCAGGGTCTTCTATTCGATTCCATTGGTTGACTTCTCTGTTTTTATGCCAATACCAAGCTGTTTTCAATACTGTGGCTCTGTAATAGAGTTTGAAGTCCGGGATGGTAATGCCTCCAGACAATCCTTTATTGTATAAGATTGTTTTGGCTATCCTGGGTTTTTTGTTTTTCCATATAAAGTTGATTATTGTCTTCTTACTCAGGAGATCTCATCTTTTTCTACTTCCCATGTAGATTAGATCCTAGCCTTTTTATATGGGTTCTGGGTATTAAACTCAGGTCTTCAGACTTTTGCGACAAGTACTTTACCCACTAAGCTATCCCCCTTCTTAATTTATGATTTTTAAATTAAAATAATTGATTTCACAACTGGACATGGTGGCATGTGCACATCATGACACGTGTTCAGGTCAGGGGCAGTTTGCAGGAGTCGGTTCTGTCCTACCATCATTCAGGTCATCAGACTTGGCGGCAAGTGTCTACCCACTGAGCCATCCTGCTAGAGCCTGCATCAGTTTTTTTTTGTTTTTTGTTTTTTTGTTTTTTTGTTTTTTTTTTTTTTTTTGTTGTTTCGAGACAGGGTTTCTCCATAGCTTTTGGTTCCTGTCCTGGGACTAGCTCTTGTAGACCAGGCGGGCCTCGAACTCACAGAGATCCACCTGCCTCTGCCTCCCGAGTGCTGGGATTAAAGGTGTGTGCCACCACCGCCCAGCTCTGCATCAGTTTTATTTTGTATATTGTTCATTAGTTGATAGACATTAGATTATTTCTGATTTGTAGTATACCATGAGTGCTTCTGCTGTAAACGTTTGTTTATCAGTTTATTGGGATGCGTGTTTCCCTGAGTGTAATCCTAGCAGTGGAAATAGATGGGCGGGCACACATGGGGTCAGGAGGTGGAGGGGTGAAGAATGACTTGCATAGCTGGGTGGAATGTGGTTCTGACATGGGAGCAGGTTTCGGAGGGGTGGATGGTGATTTCTTCCTCTGTTGTTTCTGTTGGTTGGATTGTTTCTTTTTTAAAAAACCATTTATTTACTTTTTTAAAAAATGTTCATTGGTGTTTTGACTACATGTATACTGTGTGAGGGTGTCAGAAGCCCTGGAACTTGAGTTACAGACAGATGTGAGCCATCATGTGAGTGTTGGGAATTGAACCCAGGTCCTCTGGGAGGGCAGCCAGTGTTCTTAACCACTGAGCTCTCTCTCCGGCCCCAAGGCTGGGTGGTTTCTAGGCAGGGCCTTTGTGGCAGGTAAATGCCTTCCAGGGCCAGTAAGATACTGGTATGATTGTGAGACATTTTGGTGCCTCCTAGCAATGATTTTTCTAAGCAATTGTGTTTTATGAGCTGAACGTCTGGGTGGAAAACCAGTGGCAGAGCCAAGCTGAGAGTCGTAATCTTCTAGATCACAGATACTGCTGTACACACACCCCATGAACTTCCTCTGTTGCCTCATGTTCATTTTATGATGAGAAGAAAAGATGCAGTCCTCCTCTGTTCCACATATATGAACAGCCCACTCATAGTCCAGATGTCTCTGTGGGAGAAGAAGCTCATTTTGCTGTGGCACATGTGAGGCCAGGAAGTCTGTGCTTTCCCAGGGAGCTGGAATATTAAAGTTACAGTAATCATTGCTCTAGACAATGAGATACACAGCTATTTATACCAAGTGAGGTTGGCTCTGAGCAGCCTTGGCTCTTCGCTGCTTTACAAACCTCTGAGGCACCACCCACTTCCAAAAGAACTGTTCACATGAAGGCCCCTTCCCCTCTGACACTGGAGGCCTGAGCCGGGGTTACATGTCAGGTGATAGCAGACAGGTAGCAGCAGGTCCCTGGGAATCTGTGGGGCCTGTTTCAGCCTCAACTCACTCTGCCTCTGTCTTTCTCATTTGTAGGTCGTGATTGCCACCAACATCGCAGAGACGTCGCTGACCATTGATGGCATCTACTATGTAGTTGACCCTGGGTTTGTGAAGCAGAAAGTTTACAATTCTAAAACAGGAATCGACCAGCTTGTGGTGACACCTATTTCTCAGGTTGGCTGCGTCTATGTTAGCTTTCCTCAAAATCCTGGTGAGGGTATTCTGGGATTTGTTATGGTTCTGAGTGGTCTTAACCACTGAGCTATCTCTCCAGCCCCCAAACACACACACAAACACAATATCACATAGTTTTTTTTTTGAGACAAGGTCTCAAAAATTATAAATAAATTATAAATAAATAGAGTTTAATAAATATATATTATGTACTAAACATATGCTAAATATCTAATAAATGTCTATATTATATAAAATATATAATATATAAAGTACATATTTGTAGCCTTGACTGGCTGGGAACTTGCTATGTAGATCAGGCTGGCCTTGAACTCATAGAGATCTGCCTGCCTCTGTCTTCTCACCCTTACCCCAGTGCTGGGATTAAAGGTTTATGCCACCACACCCCGCAAGCACATATTTTTTTCTTTTTTTCAGATTTATTTACTTATTATGTATACAGTGTTCTGTCAGCACGTATGCCCACAAGCCAGAAGAAGGTATCAGATCTTATTGTAGGTAATTGTAAGCCATCATGTGGTTACTGGGAACTAAACTCAGGACTTGTGTTCTTAACCTCTGAGCCATCTCTCCATCCCTGCAAACACATATTTTTAAATGCTTAGCAGCATATAGCTGAGTTAGTAGTAACTGATGAGATAATTATCCATTTCTTCAATAATTATGAGATAATCTCTTGCCTAAAGTATATTTAAAAAGGAATTACCTGGTCATCTTTTTTTTTAATATTTATTTGTTTGTTTGTTTATTTATTTATTTATTATGTATACAATATTCTGTCTGTGTGTGCCTGCAGGCCAGAAGAGGGCACCAGACCTCATTACAGATGGTTGTGAGCCACCATGTGGTTGCTGGGAATTGAACTCAGGACCTTTGGAAGAGCAGGCAATGCTCTTAACCTCTGAGCCATCTCTCCAGCCCCCTGTTAATCTTTTTAAGGGAAATTTGGTGACAGCTTATATAAAATTTTAAAGTTCATCTGTTTAACCTGTTCTGTTTCTAGGAACATATTAGAAAGTTAGACGTGATTGAGTACATATTCAAAGAACAAAAATGATTGTTCACGGAAGGATGGCTTCTAGATCAGCCAGAAGGGGAAGAATTTAATCTAATATAGTATAACCATGCCGTAAAGTATTATGTGGGATTAACTGCTGGTGTGTATTTATATTTAATGTTGTAAATGTGTAACTGTGGCATATTGAATGAAGGAAGTGAGCTACAAAATATGATGAATGAAACAATCCAATTTTTGTTTAAAAAATACATGATGTGCATTTCTGGGCTGAGCATATGGCTGTGCCCCAGGAAGCTGGTAGGCTTAGCTAAGGCTTTTCTGTGGGTGCCGCTATGCTACTGATGGTTCTCTTGGTGGGGTGATGGGAACTTTTTTGCTTTAGACACTTAAATATTGTGTTCATCTTTTATAGCAGCCCTGCATTAGCATTTATAGTTTGTAAAAAAACCACAAAGCTATTTTCATTCTGTAGTTGCGGAATAATAATAACAACTAACATTCACAGGGTGCTTACCAAGTACCAGGCAGTGTCCTGGGCATTTCACATGCACTAACTCAGGGTCTTGAGTGCTAGTAGACAGTATTGTCATTTCACAGTAAGGAGGTTAGGGTACAGTGGGAGTAAAGGACTTACCTGTTCCCACATAGCTGCTAGAGGCAGGGTTAGATCTAGAAAGCTTGGGAACAGTACATGTGCTCTGTCTGGATGACCAAATAATTGACTACATGTGTCTTTCCTGATTTGGCTCTCCATCATGGGATGCTGTGCAGTCCCGGCAGTGTGAGTGTTGCCTAGATTCGTATGACTCATTGTGCTTTCATGTTTTTTGTTTTTTTTTTTTTCTTCAAGATAGCATTTCTCTGTACTGGGATTAAAGGCATGTACCACCACGCTCAACCATTTTTTTTTTAAGGGCTTGATTTTTCTCACTGTTAACTGTTAAACATTCTACATTGGATATTTACTAAAGTCTTAAAATAAAAGACATATAGTCCTGGAGAGATGGCTCAGCAGTTAAGAGTGCTTACTCTTCTTGTGGAGGACTTGGGTTCTGTTCCCAGCTCCTGTGAGGTGGTTTACAATCTCCTGTAACTCCAGTTCTAGGAGATGGCAGTGCCTTCTTACAGCCTCTGAGGGCTCCTGTGTGTATGTAGTACACATAAATTCATACATGTATCTCATATCCATATAAAAATAGTAAGTAAATCTAAAGAAATATGCTGGGTAGTGATGGTGTATGCCTTTAATCCTAACACTCAGGAGACAGAGACAGGCAGAGCTCAGTGAGGTCAAGGCTAGCCTGGCCTACAGAGAGAGTTCCAGGACAGCCAGGGCTACACACAAAGAAACGCTGTCTCAAAAAAAAAAAATACTAGGAAGGAAGGGAGGAAAGGAGGGAGGTAGGGAAGAGGAAGGAAAGAAAGAAGGAAGAAAGGAAGGAAGAAAGGAAGGAAGGAAGGAGAAACCGTGCATAAGCTACCAGTAGACTAAGCCACTGACAAGTTGTTGTTTTTCTCCAGCCATTTCATCCTAATAATTTATACATACGCATCAAACCCTTCATAAGATGGACATGGTGGTTCATGCCTATAATCTCAATACTTGGAAGGCCAAGGCAGGAGACTCTCTGAGTTCCTAGGACAGCTAGGGCTAGATAGACCCCTAAGCGTGATGTCACACACACACACATTTAACACTGTGAATCCCAGTACTCTTTATTTCAGGCAGCTGTGTAATGAGACTCTGTCTCAAGAAGCCAAATAGAATATAAAGCCAACAATTAATAAAATTAGTGTCATATTAATTGTAACTTGCACTTTTCATCTGATGGTTGTCATTTTTGTTATCAAACATTGCAAAGCCTATTTTAAAATGGCTGCAAAGTCATCGGTGTGATCTACATAATTTATTTAGTTTGCTTCCAATTTTGATCATAATTGTGGGGCTGGTGTTTTATTGTTTGTTCTGCTCTCTGTATTTCTTCTGTTCACCTGCCTTGTATGTGCTTCCCTGGAACAAACTTCTAGATGTACTGAGAATTGGTAAGAGCATCTCTAGTGTTGGAAATGGTCCTAAACTGGTAACTCTGAGAAACCCACCCCAGTGCAGTGGTAGATCTTTCTTTCTGAGCTTTTTTCTTTCCCTAATCCTCATGCTTAAAACTTAGATGAAATTATCTTGTTAAACCCTGACTCTGCTTCATAAAAGCAAACAGACAGATTTCCTGGCTAGAGCTGCTCAGCAATGATTTACAGCTGGTACTCTGTATGCTCACCCCGTAGGCTCAGGCAAAGCAGAGAGCTGGCAGAGCTGGGAGAACCGGCCCAGGGAAGTGTTACAGGCTGTACACAGAACGTGCCTACCGAGATGAAATGCTGACCACCAATGTGCCAGAAATCCAGAGAACCAACCTGGCCAGCACAGTGCTGTCCCTCAAGGTAAGAACTGCCTATCGCACAGCCCCCTTACTCAAGTCGCCTCACAGAACCATTCCTTTGAAGTGCAGTGTTGTGTGGTATCTGTGATAACAGCTCCCTGTGCAAGTCTCTTGTGAGTGCATGGTTTGTTTCTTACTCTAATAACCAGCAGGATATTTGGCTCTGCTAGGTCTTAGTTATGTAATCAGTGCCAGACTACAGACAAACCTGTTTAAACCCCAACCACTTCAGCTTTCAGATTCAAATTTATTTGTTCCTTGCATTTTGCTTGCGTGTGTGTGTGTGTGTGTGTGTGTGTGTGTGTGTGTGTGTACATGCGCTCCTACATGTGTTTGAGACAAGGTCTGACTATATATTGGCCTGGAACTTGTTATATAAACTAGGTTTGACTTTGAAGTCAAAAAGATCCACTTGCCACTACCTCCAAATGCTTTAATCTCCCAAGGGATTAAAGGCATGGTCCACTAAATTCGGTGAATTCTGCTTTTAAATTTTGTTTTTTAATGTTAATTGTCATTATTTTTAATTATGTGCATGTGTGTGCACTTGTGTGCATGTGGATATGTGAATTCAAGTGCAGATCCTCTCAGAAGGGAGGCCAGAGGCGTCAGAATCCTTCTGGAGGTGATGGCTGTGAACCTGACAGGGGGTTGGGAATCAATCTCAGGTCCTCTAGAAGAACAGCAGAACTGCTGAGTCATCTCTCCAGCCTTGAATTCTGCTTAAAAAGGGGAAAAGGTGTACTGGTTCTGAAACTGTAAGGGGAGGTTGTCCAGGTCCCAGCTGTCGTGCAGGACTTGCTTTCAGTCAGAATTCTGCTCTTCCTCTATCACTCCCCAGCGAGCTCTTCCATCTCTCTTGGCAGGAGGAGTCACATGAGTCATTTCCCAGCTCATGGCGTGTCCCGTGACACCAGTGCTGCCCTGAGCCTTGGCACTTCACCAGTGCAGAGTGCTCTCTTGTCATTTGTTATTCATTTAGTGTAAGAAAGGCCAAAACAGGGCTTCAGAGGAAAGCCCGCTGTGGTCCCTCCATGGCCCAGACTTCTGGTTTGGCCCTGTGACTTTGGGCACGTTTATCTGCCCAGCCCCCGTTCTGTGATCTCGTCATATAAAGGCATCTGTTAATAGTGTTGGTTGGAGAGCAAGGTGGAAGGATGCAGGCGAAGGCACTTGGCACAGTGATTGCTGACATAACTCTTCACAGCTGTTGTTCACACAGTAAGCAGTTATTGGATGCCTGCTGTGCTTAGGATTGCAGACCCTTTATGAGGAAGAAGGGGAAGCACAGCACCCTTCCCAGGCGAACAGAGCATCATTCAGTCACTTCACCAAATTCGCTGTTCTGTGCCATACATTTGTTCTCATACACAGAACTCTTGAGTAGTAGCTGTGTTGGCACTGTCTTTATGCCCCAGCCACGGCATGAAGCACTCCACAGATTTGCAGAAGACAGGACAGCGAAGCTGTGCTCTTTTATTACTGTAAAATATATATAATTAAAATGTACAAATTGCTTTAAGCTTTTTTTTTTTTTGTCTTTCTGTCTGTCTTCCTCTTTTCCTCTTCTTCCTACTCCTCTTCCTTCTTGTTCTTCTTTGTTGTTTTCTGAGAATGGACTTCATTGTGTAGTCCTACATGTCCTGGGACTCACTTGTAGACCAGGCTAGCCTCAGACTCTCATAAAGATCTGCCTACTTCAGCCTTGAGCATTGGCATTAAAGATGTGTACTACCACACCAGGCTGTTCTGTTTTTTTTGTATGTTTGTTTTTGTTTTTCTTTTTTTGTTTGTTTGTTTGTTTTTCAAGACAGGGTTTCTCTGTGGCTTTGGAGCTATACTGGAACTAGCTCTTGTAGACCAGGCTGGCCTGGAACTTACTGAGATCCACCTGCCTCTGCCTCCCGAGTGCTGGGATTAAAGGCCAAGACCATCTTGCTTGTTCTGGGTTTTAAACCTACAGCATAGTAAGCTATCACTCCCTGCTGAGTCACATCACTAGCCATTTAACTTCTGCTGTTTTTGTTTTTATTTTGAGTCAGAGTCTTTCTGTGTAGCTCAAACTGGCCCCAAACTTGTGATCCTCCTGCTACTACTTCCAGAGTGTCAGGATTATAGATGTGTGCCATTGTGCTTGGCCATTGTAAGCTTTTAGTGTTATCTCCACATTAGGTCCAGCCTTGGTACAGCCATCACGCTGCTCTGTTCTAAGAGTGTTCACATTATCCTTTTAGCCAGCTTCCCTTTCCCCATTCCCTAGTCTTTGGTAGTAATATGCTACATTCTGAGAGAGAGAGAGCATGAGTGTCTGCATTTACCTAGTGTTTCCGACTTCACTTAGCATAATTCTTTTGAGGTGTGGACAGGCTGTTGTGTGTGCTGGGATTTCATGCCTGTCTTAGGATAATGTTCCATGGGTCCTCTGGAAGAAGCCAGTGCTCTTAACTGCTAGGTCTGACCCCTCAATATGTGTGTGTGTGTGTTTTTAAGATTTATTTATTATGTATACAGTGTTGTGGCTATTTATATACCTGCATGCCAAAAGAGGGCACTAGATCTTATTAAGATGGTTTTGAACCACCATGCGGGTGCTGGGAATTGAACTCAGGACCTATGGAAGAACATCCAGTGCTCTTAACCAATGAGCCATTTCTCTAGCCCCTCAATATGTGTTTAAGTTTTATTTTTTATAATGTGTCTATATGTGTGTATGTGTACAGAGGCCAGACTGATGGATCCCCTGGAGCTGGAGTTGTAGGTAGTTGTGAGCCTTCTGATATGGGTACTGGGAACTGAACTCAGGTTCTGTGGAAGAGTAGCAATGTGTGCTCTCAACCACTTGACCATCTCTCCAGACTCCTTTTGATATTTTTAAGTATGAACCTAGGGATATACAAGTTGGGTCATATGGTAACTATGTTTAACTTTTTATTTTTAAAACATTATTGATAACTTGTTAGCCTTGGTTGGCCTGAAACTTATAAAAATGGCCTGCCTCTGCCTCCTGAGAGCTATAATTAGAAAAAGCACTTGCCAGACTGTGTTTTACTTTTTAAACCACCATCAAACTACTTCCATAGTGGATTTTCATATTCCTATAAGAAATATATGAGATGTCCTGTTTTGTTTTTTCCTATCCTGCTACACCCTAGTGTTTTGTTGTAGTTTTTACTTGCATTGCCCCAGAGAGCTTGTGTGTCTTCTTTGGTGAAATATCTATTTAAATGAATCTTCAACTTTGCTCACCACCCCACATCTCCTCTGTACTCTTTCCTTTTATCAGTGACCATGAGTGGAGATGAGTGGGTGGTAAGTGCATGTGGAGGTCAGAGGGCAACTTTTGGGAGTTGGTTCTCCCCTTCCACGGGAGGGGTAGGTCTAGGGATCAAACTCAGATTGTCGGGTTTGCCCAGGAAGCAGTTTTATGTGATAGATCATATAACTGCACTTTTTTCTTTTTGTCTTTCTTTTCTTCTTCTTCTTCTTTTTTTGGGGGGCGGGGGGCGGGTGTTTTGAGACAGGGTCTCATGTATTCCAGGTTGACCTAGAACTTGATGTATAGTTGAGAATGACCTTGAACTAAGTTTACCAACTCCTTTTTGTCGGGGAGGGGGGACGTGGGGAGGAGGGGGGGTTTGGACTGGGGGTTTGAGACTAGGTCTTACGATATAACGATATAGTCTTGAATGACCTGGAACACTCTATGTAGGACTGTTCTTGAACTCACAGAGACCCACCTGCCTCTGCCCCTGCCCCTGCCCCTGCCCCCTCCTCGTGGTGGGATTAAAGGTGTGCGCCACCGCACACAGTTTCAGCCTCTTTTAAACACTGAGTTAAAGTTTGTCCTTTTGTTGTAACTCTGTGTGTTTGTTTATTTAGAAAGAATGTTTTTGTTTTGTTAAAGATTTAGAGTTAGGTATAGCGTGTATATTTGCCTGTGTGTTTTCATGTTAACAGGTGCTTTAGAAGGCCAGGGCACCGAATTGCCTAGGGTTAGAGTTACAGATGGTTGTGAGCTTGGGACGTGAACTCCAGAGGAACAGCAAAGTGCCCTTACCTCTGAGCAGTCTCTCCAGCACAGAGGAATGTTTTCTCAAGTTTCCTGAGGGGTCTAGGCATTTGACCCAGTTGGTAGAGTGTTGGTGCACCATTCACGAAGCCTTCGGTTCCTTCCCAGCACTGCATAAACCAGGTGTAGTTGTGCATGCCTATAATTCCAGCACTTGGGAAATGGAGGCAGGAAGAGAGTTTGCTGAGAACATACGTGGATGCTAATAGTATGAACTTTGTGTGGGAAGAGTCTGGAGGTTACTGCCGCTCTGCCTGGGCTTCCTAATTGCATTGAAGAAACAGTGGAGCATTTAACAGGGGACCGTCTCCATTTTAACTGGTGAGGCTCATCTTCCTGTTGCTTTATTTTCTAGGCTATGGGCATTAATGACCTGTTGTCTTTTGACTTCATGGATGCCCCACCAATGGAAACTCTGATCACGGCCATGGAGCAGCTGTATACACTGGGGGCCCTGGATGATGAGGGCCTGCTCACTCGCCTGGGCCGCAGGGTAAGGGGCAGGAGAACTTCTGGTGTTTTGGGGAGGGCACCCTGGCTGGTCTTCCCCCTTTGGTTTAGCAAAAGCAAGTGTTGAGGACTTGAAAAGCTTTGAGTAGGGTTAAATGCTCTTCAGAAGGTGGGGGGAATGGATAGTGGGAGCCAGTCTGTCCTTGAACTTTGATCTTCTCACCTTTGTCTCCACACAACAGACACCACCACAACTGACCCTAAATGCCCTTTTGTTTTCTTCCAGGAAATGAGTGGAGTTTATTTCTACTCAAGGTTTATTATTATTATTATTATTATTATTATTATTATTATTATTATTATTATTATTATTATGTGGCTCCTGGAGGTGGTCATGGATGCCTAGTTTGTGGAGTTGGTTTTCTCTTTCCACCTTTGTGTGGGTTCTAGGGATTGAACTCAGGTCACAGGCTTATGTGGCAACTACCTTTACCTACTAAGCTATCTTACCACTTTGGGGTTTTGCTTCTTTATTTTATTTTATTTTAGTGTAGACTGACTTTTCTTTTGGGCCATCAGCTCACATAAAAACTGACTTGCAGACTTCCTATTAATTATAGAAGTTTGGCCTTAACTTAGGCTAGTTTCTAAGCATAACTTAAATTAACCCATTTTTATTAATGTGCTTTCTCCCTTGTGGCTTTATTGCCTCTTCTCTGTACTGTCCATCCTGATTCTTCAATGTCTAGTTGACCGCTCTACCTTTCTTCTTCCCAGCACCCTCTGTGCTGCCTAGCTATTGGCCATTCAGCTTTAGTAAACCAGTCAGAGTCACACATCTTCAAAAGTGTGCAAAAAGATTATTCCACAACATTTTGGTTTAGTTGTCTTTTTAGGGGGTGGGAGCAGGGTGCAGGGTTTCTCTGTGTAACATTCCTGACTGTCCTAGAACTCAGAGATCCACCTACCTCTGCCTCCCAAGTGCACCACCACTGCCTGGAAGGTTTTGCTTTTTACTTGAATTTTATATTATTACTTTAAAATGTTTCTTCTTAATAGAAAAGATTGCTTGCAGTTAGTCGTACTCAGGATATATTATTCAATCTAATCTAGATTATATTTATGATTACTACTATTGTTATTTTAAGACAGGTTGTTCTGTATGTAGTCCAGGCTAGGCAGGAACTAACTTCCTATGTAGTCTCAAAAACAAATAAAGGGTGTCTGCACCATTCCCATTTACATCAACAGTAGTTATGCTCTTAGGATCTGAGAGCTTATTTAGCAAAGTAAATTTATGGTGGAGACAGACACCCCACATCACCATGGGGCATCTGTAATCTCTTTTCCACTGACTAGGGCCTTCCTTGGCTAGTCAGTCCATGTGCATTGTCTACAGGGAAGCAGTTGTAGTTTCTTCTTCTTCCTGTAGATGGCGGAGTTTCCTCTGGAGCCAATGCTCTGCAAAATGCTCATCATGTCTGTGCATCTGGGCTGTAGCGAAGAGATGCTAACTATTGTGTCCATGCTGTCTGTGCAAAATGTCTTCTACCGACCCAAGGTAAGGTGCTCAACCCCACGTCCCAACAGGTGTAGTGACATCAGCCTGTGCTGTGTTGTGGGAGATGCTGTGACAAGCTGGCACATGTGTTTCTGTGCCAGCTGCTCACTTAGTACTTGGTAGGTAAGGAATTACTTTCTGTCCCACTGCTTGGCAGGATAAACAGGCCCTTGCAGATCAGAAGAAGGCCAAATTCCATCAGACAGAAGGGGACCATCTCACCCTGCTGGCCGTCTATAACTCCTGGAAGAACAACAAATTCTCCAACCCATGGTGCTATGAGAACTTTATCCAGGCTCGTTCCCTGCGCCGGGCCCAGGACATTCGCAAGCAGATGTTAGGCATAATGGACAGGTCAGTCAGGAATGGGGACATTAGTTTTGGGTTGTCATGTCTCCATAGGTCTTATGACTGCTCACCTCCAAATGTATTTGCAGGTACCTGTGTGCTTGTTTCTAACAGAGCATTTTCCTGCAGTGTTCATCTTGTAGGCTGTCTCCTCAAGCAGACATGTGGCTAAGAATTGCTTTAGAAACATCCTGATAGGAAGATAATTTAATTAGTTAAGAATGCTTTCTTTACCAGGACAGGCACCAAAAACTACAGAGAAACCCTGTCTCAAAAAAAAAAAAAGAATGCTTTCTTTGAAGTCAGGCAGTGGTGGTGCATGCCTTTAATCCCAGCACTTGGGAAGCAGAGGCAGGTGAATCTCTGAGTTAGAGGCTACCTGGTCTACAGAGATAGTTCCAGGACAGCAGAGCTACACAGAGAAACCCTATCTTGAAGGGATAAAGAAGAATGCTTTGCTTACAAGCCTCTGGATTATTAGTCTGGGGTTGAATTCTTGCCTGAGCCAAGCTTCTGGCTTTTAGTCCCTTCATATTGCCCACCATACTCTTTCTGTATTGTGCTGCGAGGAAGCCTTAGTCCTGGTGACGACTGTGAGGACCCTCAGGTGGAGCATTGAGCAGCTCACGCACTGAGCAGGCTCATGTTCTTGTCTGCTCTTACTGTCCTGACAGGCACAAGCTGGATGTGGTCTCCTGCGGCAAGTCCACAGTCCGAGTGCAGAAGGCCATCTGCAGCGGCTTCTTCCGGAACGCTGCCAAGAAGGACCCTCAGGAGGGCTACCGGACGCTGATTGACCAGCAGGTGGTCTACATCCATCCTTCCAGTGCGCTCTTCAATAGACAGCCAGAATGGTAGGTGACTTGTCCTGGGCAGAGGACTCCCAAGTCTCTACCACCCCCACTTCACATTTTGACTTTGCTTGTATTTCTAGAGTAGCATAAGCCCAAAGTAGGGACACTACCAAGTTCTCCTGTTGTCTTTAATGTGTGTATTTATGTGTGTATGGGCGTACCTTTGTATGTGTGTGGAGGCAGAGAAGAGCCTCAGGAGTCATCCTGGGGAACATAGTCTTTCTCCTTTTAAGATAATCTTGTTGCCTGGAGATCACCATTGAGACAAGATTGGCTGGTGAACACAGGGACCCTTTGTCTCCGCCTCCTTAGCACTGAGACTGCAAGTGTACATCACCATGCCCAGCATTATGTAGGTGCTGAGGATTGAACTTAGATCCTTGTTCTTGCAAGGCAAGCATTTTACCTTCTAAGTTGAGTTTCCAGCCCATAAACAGCCTCTTTAAGAGAAGTACAATTACAGGCATGACAGCAGGGAGCGATCTGAGAAATCTGATGAGATGGTTTTAAAAAGGGTTTTGGGGGTTTTGTTTGTTTTTTTTTCAAGGCAGGGTCTCACTACATAGCTCTGGTTGTTCTGGAATTCACTATGTAGACCAGGGTGGCCTCGAACTCACAGTGATCCACCTGCTTCTGCCTCCAAAATCTTGGGATTGAAGACTTGTGCCACTATGCCCACCATGGTCTTTAAAAGTTTAAGCCGGGCATGGTGGCTCATGCTTGTAATCCTGGCTCTCATGAAGGAATCAGGAGGGTTGCCTTGAGTTTGAGACTAGTCTTGGCTACATATGGAGACCCAGTCTCAAACAGAAACAGGGCTGGTGAGAAGACTCAGCAGGTATGAGTGCTTGCTGTGCAAGCCAGATGGCCTGAGTTTGATCCCCAGAACCCACAGAAATTTAGATGGAGGAAGAAAACTGACCCCACAGAATAGCCCTCTAATCTCCACATGCAGGCTCATGCTCACACAAATACACACATACACTTAAGGGTGTGTGCCACCATACCTGGCGCTACTTACTGCACTTTGTCCACTTGGCACTCCCTGTCCCTTGGTGGTGATCTGTGGAGCCCCTCTCCAGAACCTTAGAGTTTTATGGAAATTACCTAAGAAACCAGTTTTATTTTACAGATCAAGACACTGAAACCTAGAGAAGGGACAGAGCTGTTCTATTGTCATGTGATTAGTTCATGCTGAGACCAGGCTAGAACTGTCTTCCTGTGAGCAGTCTTGTGTTGGAGGAGTTTAGGCGTGAAGTAATGGGGTGTGGCTTTCATAAACAGACCAGAGTCTCCTGAAGGGTTAGGCAGGAGAAATGATAGAACAAATGTCAGCTCAGCTGTGGTCCCCAGGGGACCAGACTGGCTGTGGGGTGAAGCCTAATCCAAGGCTTGAGTCCTGTCTCTCTCCCACAGGGTGGTATACCATGAACTGGTGCTGACCACCAAGGAATACATGCGTGAGGTCACCACTATCGACCCCCGGTGGCTTGTGGAGTTTGCTCCAGCTTTCTTCAAGGTCTCCGACCCGACCAAGCTAAGCAAGCAGAAGAAACAGCAGCGCCTGGAGCCTCTGTATAATCGCTACGAGGAGCCGAATGCCTGGAGAATCTCCCGAGCTTTCCGGCGGCGCTGAAGGGCAGCTGACCACTCACCCGCATCTCCTGCAGCATGTGGCTTCCTCTGGCTGATGATGAGCTGGTCCTGTGTTGTGCTATTTTAAACTGAGCATTTCCCAAACTTAACTGTCTTCATAGTGTAAGACAGAAACAAATTTAAGCAGGGCTTTGTCCAGAGCCTTTAATCCCAGCACTTGGGAGGCAGAGGCAGGCAGATTTCTGTGAGTTTGAGGCCACCCTGGTCTGCAGAGTGGGTTCTAGGACAACCAGGACTACATTTTAGAGAAACCCTGCCTTGAAAAATCACACACAAATCGGACAAGTTGTGCATCCTGGGATGGGTGGGGAGAGTGAGTGTTGGTGATGCATTACACACAGCAAGGCCCTAATACCTCAGCTGTGTTTGTTGAAGGAATGAACCGTGACACTCCTGGACCATGTTGACCCCACTCCCTACCCCTCCCCAACCTCTGTATTTGTATTTTTACCTCCTAGAAATATTTATTTTCTTAAGGAAACAATGGGTTTTTATGACTTTTTCTTGTGGGAGGGGCAGCTGAAATGTCCGGCCCTCAGCCTGAGTTCAGTGTGGTGCACATGGTAGAGTCTCCTAGCCCTAGAGCCCAGGCCCCTCTGAGCCCAGACATGATGCACTGGAGGCCGAGCACCCCTGGAGCTAGCTCAGCCTTAGCAGCACAGGTCCCAGATTAACCAAGTCTGTGCCAGAGTGCTGCTTCAGTCTGGTACCTGGTGGCTAGGGATGTGGCGTCTGAAAACAAAGCTCTCCTCGATCTTCTGTCCCTTTCCTGTCAACACTCATTGAGCAGTGTGTTCTCTTTTCTTTAAAACCTAGCAAGTAACGAACGACCTTATGACAGTGTTTATGGTTTCTTTCTGTTTTTTTTCCTCCTGAAGTCTTCAGTGAACTGAGCAAAGCCCCTTTCCATCACTGCCTGCAGAAAGCAGGCGTAGCGCTCTCAGCTGGTGTATGCTCACAAGAAGCGACACTTTCATTCCTCTGAGTGGTTTTTCCCGGTGCCCCCTTCAGACTAACTAAAGGGGTTCTGTGCTGAAGGGAGACCATCATGTCCTGCTGAGCCAGGCTGGAACTTACTGGGGAGCCCTGGGGGGATAGTGGGCTCGTCCTGGGCCATGGCGTTCCTCCTGCAGCCCCGCCCATGTTAGTAACTTCCAAATGTAAGTAAATCAACTGCCTAGTGGTCAGCCAGACACCAAAAGACCACAGCATTCTTGAGTATGACAGTGTGTGGTAACTGGTGGCAGAGAAGCCACTCTGATGCTATGTTTGATAATCCAAGGAACATAGAGTTGAGGGGCAGAGTGTGTGTCCCTCGGATGTCACCCTGTGAGGACCTATGTGAAACAGAAGTAGGAAGCCAGCATCCAGCTCCTGGTCTTTTTAACAGAAGACTTGACAGTTGACAAGTGTCCGTGTCATCCTTGCACGGGGCTGTGCCAACATCCATATTATTGCTCTCAGCCCACTCTGCTTTCCCTTCTCCCCTCTTCACTGGAGGTGGAATGCATGTCCTTCATGCTGAGCCCCCTCCCCAGAAAGGGTGGTTCATAGGTCAGGACCACAGGGCTGATACAGATGCATCTCTAGATACTCCTTCACTTTGTCCCCTTGAGAGCCGGGGTCACTTTTCACTGTGACAGTACCCATCAGAATAGCCTCTTCAACTACAGGCCAAGAATACTTGAAGGGGAAGAAGTCTCCTGTTGAGATCTGGAGGGTGATCTGGCCTGTTAACACTGGGCTGTGGCTCCATACCCTCTTTCTCCCAATGTGTGTGTTTGAAACTGGGTCTTACTTTACCCAGGCTACCTTTGGATTCATGATGGTCCTCCTGCCTCAGCCCAAGTGCTGGGTTTATAGGTGGACATCACCAGGTCAGTTTTGTCTCTTTAGGAAAAAAAAAATTGCTTAAAGTATTTTCTGTGTATGGGTATCTTGCCTGCATCAGACATGTCTGCGTACTTGTATGCTGTCCCCGGTCCCTGCAGCAGCCAGTAAGGGCTATCAGATGCCCTGGGATTGGAGTTACAAATGGTTGTGAGCAGTCATGTGGGTACTGAGAATGAAACCCAGGTCCTCTGGAAGAACCCTCAGGGCTTTCACCAGCCAAGCCATCTCCAGGCTCCTACCTCTCGTTCATTCTCAAGCCACTATTTCCTAAGATTGAGAGCTCAGGAGATGATGTGGGTCTTGTGCACAGAACTGGAATCTTCTTGGCCACCCTGTGCATGCGTGTGAAAGTGAAAGGACAACCATGGGGAGTTCATTCTCTCGCTCCACCATGTGGGTGCTGGAGATAGATCTCAGGTACTACTAGGCTTGGCAGGAAGCCCCCTACCCACTGAGTCACCCCCACCTCCCGAACTGCTTTTCTGTCTCTTGCTCTGAATTGAGTCAGTATTTCTAGGAAAAGGTGGTGCCTTGTATTTGTGGGTAGCAGTTGGTTTCCCACTGAACGAGGTTTTTTTTTTTTTTTTTTTTTTTTTTTTTTTTTTTTTTTTTTTTTTTTTTTTTTTTTTTTTTTTTTTTACTGAGCCAAGTTCTGGAAAGCTGGCTCTAGATACAGATTCTGTCCCTCCCTGCCTGTCACAGCTCCTCAGTCATGCCCTCTGTTAGGTTTCTGCCACCCCAGGACTGGTCTTAGGAGAATGCTTGCCATTGCCACCCCCTAAAGAGCCTCCCCAGAAGCTGCTGTCACCTCCTCGGGTACCTTTCTCCTTTTCTACTCCCTAAATGCTTGTCCTTGACCTTGGTAAAAACAGCAACCAGCTCACAGGAGGAAGGATAAGCAGTTGGGGTAAACATGGTCTCCTGATCATGGGAGCAACTATTGATCATAAAGCCACAGACCAGTGCCTCCCTGAGGACGTTCCTAGGGACAGGCCAGCCATGCCATCTGGGTTAGAGTACACTCTCTTATTTCTGGATCCTCATGTGATCCTGGGCTGGGAAAGAGCAGTTTCACAAAATCCATTTTCTAGAGGAAAATCAATGGCCAGAGGGGAATTGCTCTTCTCCAGATTTGCCAGGGAAGGCCTGAGCTAGAACCCAGTAACAGGGTGTTATCACATGTCATCATGTAAGGCCTTGGGACAGACTTGGAACTCTGGTCATTTGCTTCATGGCCATCGCTCTTCCAGCCTTAGGTCCCTGCCTTAAAGATGCAAAGAGCAGACAGAAAGAGCTAATGGGAGAAGCAAAGACGTTTATTAAGGTCTGGCAGATGAGGTGAAAGTGGAACCAACTAGGCATGGGTAGACCTAGGGCAGGGAGTCAGAGGGCCCCTTGGAGGAGAACCTCTTTGATCCCTGCCTCCACCCAACACCACCCCAGCTGCCTCCCACTTGCTCCTGCCTCCCAGGGCACAGCACCAAGAACACAGGATCCCAGCTCAGGGCAGAGCCCAGAGCCCAGGTTTCCATCTCCCACGGCGGGAGAAGTGGGGTGTTCAGGGAACCCCCTTGGCCCTGCTGCCATAATAAAGTTAGGAAGCCCCTTGTCTGTCCCCAGAACAGCACAAATGGGGGTTCTCTGTGGTCAGGGTGGGGAACCACCTCCGAGTAAGACCTAGGCGGAGGCGAACCACAGCGAACTTCGGAGTTGTTGCCTTTAGACTTGTCCTGCCTCCACTGGCCTTCCTGCAGACTCTGCTTAGAGTTATGACCCCAGAGACTTCTGTGGGTGTCAGCATGAGGGCTTCCCCAACACCAAATCTGTTGATATGTACACTGGGCAGCCCCACTCCCGGCAAGGGGAAGCCACTGGTGCCTAGTAGGAATATCCACCTTTGTGGCTGTAGGGCTGGGCGGGGCCAGCCAGTTCTGGGAGGTAGGCAGGGCTCTCATCCAAGTGGGACAAAGGGACTGTGTCCTCCTCACTGACTGGCCTGTCAAACTCGGCCTTCAGAGCTGGACGCTGATTATCTGGGAAGGCCAGAGAGAACAGGGCCTCGGGCTCACACACAAACTTGTACACATAGCGCTCGCCAGCCACCTGTGGAGAAAGGGCTGTCAGGCCAGACATACATACCCTGCCTCGGTAGGGGATTTGGAGGATCCTGCCCTTCTCGTGGGTCTCCAAACATCAGGACCCCATGACTTCCCTCACTGGTCCTTGGAGCCCACTCCCTTCCGGTATTGTTCACACATCTCTATCTCGGCAAGCTTAGGGACTGCTCAGTATTGTTTAGGGAATTTACAGGGGAACCTTGGGATTTACATTTTCTGTTCCTGCCAACCTGCTGAGAAACATGTTTGTTTTCTCTCCCTCTCTCTCTCTCCCACTCCCCCCCCCCCATGACCCTCCCTCAGCCCCTCCTCACGACCACGCTAAGACTTCAACCCGACCTTCTGCATGATGCCTTTCTCATAGTAGTATCGCAGTGAGCGGCTCAGCTTGTCGTAATTCATGGCTGGCCGGTTCTTCTGGATGCCCCAGAGCCTGGCAACCTGGGGACAAGAGACAAAGCATTTGGGTGGGGATACCATCTCTGAGGGAAAAAGGGGGGAGGGGTGGGAGCGGAAAGGGCATTTGAGATTCTTGTGCAGAGATGATCTAGACTTGTTACCATACAACTGACTCAGGCTTGGCAAGAACCAGGTCAGGCAGATGACGCATGACAGCAGCAGCGAGTGCCACCGTTTCTCCTCTCAAGGCTCCTAAGATGCTGCAAGACCCACCTCTTCAGGTTCAATTAGTTTAAACTCCATCCCCCGGCCTGTCCAAGCAATGAAATGAGCATTTGTTGGGTCATCCAGCAGGGCTACCAGAAACTGCCACAGTTGCAAGGCACCCCGGCGCTGGTAGGGTGGCCCCTCTCGGAAAGCTCCAACCCCTTCCTGCTTGATGTCTCCTAGGAAAGTAGACATAGGTGTGAGGTACAAGCCTCCTAACCAAGCCCCTTCCCTTCCCCATGGGGCATCCCCAAACTCTTTCCTGAGTGTCCCTCCCGCTCCCGACCCAGTGTGATGGGGTGAAGAAGACCCCAGCACCGCTATGCAGTCACTTCTCTGACCTTCAAACTTTTCAGGGACAATGCAGACATCATCTGGGAATGGTCGAAGAGATTTCTCATAGCCATAACCTTGTGGAGGAAATTGGGGATTGGCTCAGATCTGAGGGTTCCCTGACTGGAGACCCCATAGAATCCAAAGAGACTCCCAGCTGGGGTGAGTCTCCCCGACAGCAAGGATCCCTCCCCCCCACTAGGAGGCCTTAGCCAGGAAAGGAAGAGCTGCCTTACCCATCACTCCATCACCTGGAGAGGGCCCAGAGAAGCCCTCCGGGTGGAGGTACATTGATGTGCACCCAGGGACATCTGGGGGAGGGAGGAAAGGGCGATGCGGTTAAGTGGCTGAGGAAGCCGAGAAGCAGGGAGGATGAAGCCCTGCACACATTCAAGAAGTTCACGCCACCGCAAGCCTGCAGTCCAGCGACTGTCCTTTCCCACCACCAAATCCCAGGGGAAGTTAACCCAGAGGGAGCTGGAAGCCGGAGGCCCTCAGTTTGAGGGCTGGGGCCGAGGGCATGGGGGCAGCAGCTGGGGCTTGGCAGCCTGTTCCACCGGGCCCAAGAATCCAGGGAGCAGCTGTTTCCTGTGAGTTCAGGGGAAGGAGGGGGTGAGAGATGCACCTCCGGGGGTTGGGAAGTGTTCGCCTAAGACTTCCTCGGAATGGGCACACGTCCGGCCAGCAGGTCAGGTTCCAAGGCCAGTACCTCCTCTCTCTCTCTCTCTCTCTCTCTCTCTCTCTCTCTCTCTCTCTCTCTCTCTCTCTCTCTCTCTCTC